ACTTGAGATGGTGCCTCAAAATCAATCAATGACGTGAATTGAATTGCATTTATTTTTATCAAGATGTATGAAAAATACGGCATGCAGATTTACATACATGAACCTAACTGAGCAGCTTATGTGTTGTCATTCCATAATGAAGCCTGTCAGCTATATAACATTGATGTGCAGAGGTGACCAATCAGCAATCAGGCTTTTGACAGTATATTACTTGTTGTAAATATGTACATGTAAATGTACATGTATGTAAATAAATTAATCATTAATGCAACAAGGTACAGGATGAAAGGGCTACTATAGTTTTTGTCATGCATGTGACATTGTCATGTCATATTGCACAACTGGCTTTCTGGATAGAAACAATAATAAACATATTTTAGTACTACTTGTTTGATTGGCAGGCAAGTTATTATTTAGATTTTCCAAACAACACTGACTGGATAAACAGATAAAATGCTACACTCATCATGTCATTTAAAAAAGTACTCAAAATATAATATATAAAGCAGCAATGATACAGTAATCAATTCAGGCAGTGGTTAACCAGCTGCCTGGATAAATAAAGCCTGTCGTTGCACACTGTGAATTATTTTAAATGTAAAAACAATTGCCTTTTACGTTTTGCCATTTTTTACGTGTTTTTGTATGTTGCCAGAGTTTATGTTTGTATCTTGGCAGTTGCTCAGATTTTTACCCATTTTAGTCGATCCAAGAAGCCATAAACTGCAAAGAGTTTTGCATATGAGCCAAATAACAGAGATGTTGGGCCTGATCCAGATGTGTGTGCACAACAGCTCACACAATGTCCCTGCAACCTCAGGGCAAATATTTCAAAACACCAAGCTTCAATATGACTTACATATTCTTCTGATAAAATGAATACATTCATTGTTCATTTCATAATACCCACTGTAAATAAAATCATATTTACTGACGTTAAAGTTAAAATGAATGATTGATTTGTTTTTGCATAAAGCAACTTATATATTACCTTAAATATAAGCACACTGTATTAATGGAGGTTCATACTTTACATGAAAAATGGAAAAAGAGGGTTGGTTTTGCACATTAAACCCAGTTTATTTTACAAAATGTCGTCTTGGAAGTTTCCAAAAGTGGACTGCCAAGCTCTCTTTTAAACATACAGAAAAGTGACTGGGCCATTGAAAAGGATGACTCAGTCTAGTTTAAAGAACTTGTACTGAAAATAGACAATGCAAACATAATATTTAGATTTTTTGAACCAATGTCGACAACTTCAGGGCCTTACAAGAACATTTGTAATCTCTTCAGATGCCCTTGTGAAATTGGCATATTTATATCAAAGAATGCACTTTATTGGGAGATGAATAAAAAGGAGAAAACTTGCAGTTAGATACATTATTAACTTCCAAATGATACCAACTTAGACAACATTTACACAAAACCTTAAACTACTTACAGCAAGAGAAAATAAAAGTATGTAATGGTTTAAGTCCAAAAACATCATCATTTATTTTTCAATCTTTATCGTGGTTCCTTGCTTTAACCTTCACCTCTGGAAAAGACATAGAGAAGTTTAGAATTTGAATGTTTTTATTACTAACTTAACAGCTTCGATTTAAAAGTTGAATTAAAAGGCTCCTTTCAGACATTGCACAATCAAAATAGATATACATTCAAAGCACCATTAAATTGTTTATGAGAATTGTTTTATTTTTGTCAGTTACACCTATTACAGTATATTTAAAATCACTGACATTTTAAGTGTATCCCCTGTTTTAAAACACCAGTTTCAACTTCTGGTTTTGGTGTCTCTCTTTGCCTTTCAATGTTGATCTCCTCATACGTCCATGCTCAGTCTCTTACCCTCCTCCTGTTGCCAGCTGGTAAGAAAGGGATAGAATCATTAATACATGTCAGACAGCCAGTACACATGGAATAGATCACTATGTGAATGAAGAATATGTTCTGTGTTAAAGTTTATCATCTAGGCTCTGATCTCATCACTCCACACAAGGAAACACCAAGATCAGCACAGCAGGGAATGGGGAGTGATGATAATAGCTTAAAAACTCAGAGCCTACAGGTGGATGCTGGAGTGGAGGTGAGGCTCATGAAATGCTATACATTATGAACAGCAGCTGCAGCGGCACCAAGTGTCAGCATAGCTTTTATGTGAGCACTGTGGCGGCAAGCATGGCAGCAAAAAAGTGAGTTGCACACATAAGCTTAAAGGTGGGGTCAATCATACTGGAGAAAGATAATTGATTGTGGAGCCAAACACCTTGTGTTGTGGCTCGCTCTAAGCCACTTTAGCATTGGTATTTGACCTGGGAGTGAGACTCAACAATCAACTATCTTTTTCCACCATTGACCCCACTGTTAAAGGAATAGTTATTTTAGGAAACCCACTTTTCCCATATTTCCCATTTTAGGAAGTATGCTAGTTAGATGACAAGATTGATTTATATTTCCCATCTGTGTGGTAAATAGAAACATTCAGCAGCTGGTTAACCTAATTTGGCATAATGATGGCAAACAGTGAGAAACAGCTAGCATGGCTCCGTCTAAAGTTAACAAAATCCATCTACCAGCACCTCCAAACCTATTAACACATTACTATTATAAACATAATTTGTACAAAAACTGAAGTGAAAAAATGACACATTGTGGTTTTACAGACTTTATGTGCAGGACTATTTCTTGGCCAAGAGATATTCCAGCACATAACCCCCAGTAAAACCTGTTAACTTTGTATTTTGCATGGATTAAACAAACAGGATATAATCTGTTAATAATGCGAAATGTAGAGGTGTTGGAAGGTAGATTTTGCTCAGTTTTGACAGAGCCAAGCTAGTTGTTTCTCTTTTCCAGTCTTTGTGCTAAACCAAGCTAAGCTAACAGGCTGCTGTAGCTTCATATTTACCATACACATGAGAGTAATATTAATCTTTTTATCTTACTTACAGCAAGAAACATATTTCCCAAAATGTTGAATTATTCCTT